TAAGTTTGTTTATGTCAACAGAAATATTATTTTTCTTTTATTGTAATATATATTTTACATACTTATAATAAAAAAATAATAAATATCTTTAGTAAAATTAGATTAATAATAAAATAAAACTATATAAATTACAATTATACAAAACTAATAAAGATTATTTTTAAAAATTAATATGCAATTAAAATATTATTTTATTAATAAACTAAATATGTACTATGGTATCAAATTTTGCTTTTAAAAAGAAAAGTTAAAATCGTGAAAAGCTAAAATGAAGGAAAAATTATTAAAATATTATTTTTTTATTTTAGTTTGTTTATGTCAACAGAAATATTATTTTTCTTTTATTGTAATATATATTTTACATACTTATAATAAAAAAATAATAAATATCTTTATTAAAATTTCCTTAATAAAGTAAAAATTGAAACTATATAAATTATATTTGTGAAATATTTCAATAATACTTATCTTAAAAAAATGATAAGTGATTTTGAAAATAAGTGATATTTAACATTATAACCTAATAAAGAGTCTTTGGCCAACCACATTTGATTTTATAGGAATTGTTATCAAAAACCAAAACGACTACAATCAATAATATGAATTTGTTCCCATCACCTAACCTAAATTCAAGCAAAACCCTAGCACAAAAGTACAAAAATAATTTTGTCCACAAATAAAATCAAAATAGCAAATTAAAATAGAGACGAAACTCAAAAACTTCAAATATAATTTCATGCGGAGGACGATGGAGGATAGTGCCCGAACCTCCGCGGCCCCTCCGGAAAATCCGAACCGGATCCCCCACCTTGTGCCGGTCTATCCTCTCCCGGAGTCCCGAAACGTATCGTTTGCCCACTCACTAACGGCACGGAATCATCAACATTCAAAGACGGCGATTGAGAAACAAACCACGGCTCATCGTACGAAGGAAAAACGGGAAAAGACGGGTAATAATAATCCGCGCTCGGTTGGTTTTGATACGAGCCGTAGTAGAATAAGCTCTCGAGAGATGTCGATGTCGATGTCGATTGAGGCGGCTGAAAGTCGGTGCTGCCCTGGAGAAGCCGCGAGTATTCCAAATAGTCTCTGGCGGCGGCCGCCTCGGAAAGTGGCGGCGGAGGGGCGGCCGGCAGTTGGTGGTGGGGCGGCGGGTGCTGAGGTGGCGGTGGGATGCGGGCGTGCTCGGGGAAGTTGAGCTTCGCGCGGTGGCCGCGGAAACGGAGGGCGGCCTCGTCGTAGGCTCGGGCGGCGGCCTCGGCAGTGTCGAATGTGCCGAGCCACACACGAGCGGCTTTCTGTGGGTCCCGAATCTCGGCGGCCCATTTGCCCCACGGCCTTTGACGGACTCCTCGGTATTTTTGCCGTCTTTGGCCGGTTGTTCCGGCGAAGGTGGTGGGAGGTGGCGGTGGTTGTGTGGTGGTGGTGGTTGTCGGTGGCTCTGAAAGAGATTAAAAGTAAAAATGAGATTCAATGATGCATGAAATTTTCATTTATTTGCTTGTTTTATTTTTGAGATAGGGATTGTAAATAGATGTGCAAATATATATGAATTTCTAATTGAAAAAATTAAGTACATAGGGATTGTAAACAGATGTGCAGCTNACATTACAAAACAGTTAATGAGTCTATTAATTAAGTATATGGCTATTACAAAACAGTTGATGATTCTATTTTTATTTTTTTTTCGGTGCAAGTTAATGATTCTATTAATTAAGTATATGGCTTAGTTTGGTAGACAGATAAAGCTTATAAGAGCTAACTCCAATTATTTGTGGATTATCTCATTCCATTGCCACATTGTCAAAAAAATATAACGTGACATGTAAAATTTATAGAAGTCGAGACATTTTCTATCTATATTATATTATTTATTTTATATATTTTTTCTCACCAACTAATTATTAACTAATTATTATCTTACATATGTCAATTTATTATACAATTGAAATTCACTACAAGAGACACACTATTTTATTTTTTTTCTCCACAAGATACATATGAATTAGACATTGTGTCATTGAAGATTCTCTAAGCTAGCTTCCTCTAAGTTTCGTTCTACAAACAAGCCTTTTAAAAAATTTCGAACTTTTATCTCATAATCTTTTTTTGGTACCTTATTTTCTAATAAATTAGTCAAAAATTTTATTTCAACTAATTTTATCCAACATTTTATCATATAAATTATCTTTTTAACTATAATTCATAAACTATTTAAGATAATAAACTCTAAAATTACTCTATAAGCTAGCTTATCAGCTAATTTTACCAAATTTTTATTTATCAGCTAATTTATCAGCCTATGCCTAGAAGTTACAATAAACTCAGATTTATGTTCTTCTTTATATAGGATTTATCGAATACGGTACAAGTAACACTTGCTCGTTAAATAATTAAACATAAATCCCTAAATAATAAGCAAAATTTAAGTGAAAAAAAAATAGTTAGAAAAAACTAATATACCAACCTGATTTAACAACGTAAGACGAGGAATCTCCAAAACCCCGATAAACCCTCTGAACTTCCTCCGGCAACATAGCGCCGCCATCTTCTCGGCCGTGCATCCTCTTCACCCCCGAACTCGAAGACGACTGCTCCAACAGAGGATAACTCTCGCCAATATTTCTTCCCCAAACACCACCGCCACCAGTATACGGCGGCGGCATCACCGTGTTCCTGTTCTCGCCGCTGTGCCGCCGGTCTCCGGCGACCGCCCGAATCGTCGGCGGCGGCCCGAGAGACGATAGCAGGTAGTCCGGCCGTTGTTCTTGCCGATCGTTGAAGTACCCTGTGGAGGAACAGCCGCCGGAGGTGTTTGAGGCGCCGCTTTCTTGATTCCACGCCGCCGGGAAATGAGCATGCTCGCCTTGGCCTCGTTGGTTCGCCACCGTTGAAAAATATTCCTTTTGTTTGGTCTTCAAAATTTTCCTTTCGTTTTGTTTTGTTATTTATTTATTTCTGTTTTGAAAAATATTTGTCAAAAGGGCGGCTATTATAAGGTGGGAGGAGACTAGGATTGAGACAACACGTGTTCTGGCAGACGTCAAGAGAACAGTGATTTGTTTCGAAATGTTCCAAGTAAAGTATAATTAATACAAGTCGTGAGGAGATATTTGGATTTGATCCAAGATTGAATGAATATCTTTTTTTAAGGCAAAGGAACAAAAAGTGATGGGGCAGTACACGTGTTCACACCACGGGTACTTTGTTAGCAAGATGGCGTGAATGTGGCTCCTTTTTTGGGCTTTTGGGGGCCCACATATCGAATGTCGGTTTAGGGGCTTTTGGGTTGGGGAAATCAGGTCCGAATTGAGTTCTTTTGGATTTCATCTACGTAATAAGCGAAGGAAAAAGATTAGTTCAAAGAAAGACTCTTTTTTTATTGTTTTAATTAATGTGATTTTACCGACATATTTCCATGGTTTCAAGTTAATCCACGCCATTCAGCAAATGTTGTTCCAACATATCCATCAAACTTCATCACTCTTAGATCATAATTAAAATGTGATATTAAATTTATTTAGTCAAATTAGTTAGAACAATCAATTATCAAGATTAGAGGCGGTCCTAAAAATTATAAGACATAGGTGAAATTTACTTACTTTGGTTACGTTCAATTTATAAAACTTTTAATTTGTAAACAACCACTACAGTAAGATTATCATATTCCAATAGTAAATATTCCAATAAAAATTTCAACAGATATTCAAATTGTATGCTTCCGTTGCAATGGATATCAACACTTAAAATTCTATTGGAATTATATTTTTCTTAGAATTTTAGATGATATCTCATTGAAAATTCCAACGATCATTTTTTCAACGTTTTTACTGTTATAGGATTTTTGTTGTAATATAAATTTTCATTCGATTTTTTTTCTCAATCATATTTCAACCATTGAAAATTTTTTGAATTTTTTTCATTGAAATTTCATTATTTTCTTAAATATTTATATTACTAGAACAAAAAATATTTATAGTGAAATATAAAATAAAAAAATAACCAAATTGTAAATAAATTACTATCAAATTTTATCTTGGGAATTTGTAAAATGAAAAAAAAAACAATGTATAAATATCAAGAGAAAAAACCATTTCCATTGTATAGTAATTCAAATTGAAAAGAGTACTAGAGACGTGCTTTGACCATTTCCTTTGAAGGATGTGTGAAATCACGTAGACCGATTTGTTTTGATGCCTAAATGCACTAAACGAATATGTGCGGACCACTAAATTAATTATTTCGAACATATCGGGTATTAAATACGCACTGTTCATATTACAAAATAAAAAATATTAAGATGTGTGGATGCATAGATGCATGCTAGTTGTATGTACACTAAATTTAATTAAAATATGATTGTCGAGTTCTACAGCAATGGAGTACGCATTTGGTGGCGGTGAGAAAAAAATAGTTTAAGGTTTTGTTAACATCAACTTTCAGACATGGTCTTTGAGTCAATTTGGAGCAGCACGCACGTGCATTTGGAAATAAACCACATTAGTACAATACACGTGTACTATACGAGTTGTTGATAAAATAATTAAATGTATAATATATAAATGATAAAATAAATTGTATAATTTATTGAAGTTGAAAAAAACAGTAAAGAACAATATATAATAATTTATAATAAATAACTAAATGAGTTAATAATATTATTTTAAATTTTGAAAACTAATACACAAAAATTGTTATATTCGAACAAAAAATTCTATGGCAATATATTCCAATGAAAATTTCAACGGATATTCCAATGGTATAGTTTTCGTTGGAATGATTGCAAAGAAAATATTCTGTTTGAATGTGTTTTTCAGTGGAATTTTAGATAGAATTTGATGATTCCAATGGCTATATTTCTAACGCCTTTTTACCGTTGGAATATGCAATTTTCGTTGAAATTTTTATTTCCACCACCGTTGAAATCGTTAAAATCCAACCGAAATTCCAATGGAAAACTCATTCCAAAGGAATATTTTTGTTGGAATTTCCGTTGGAATCCATTGAAAAATTCCAACGGAAATAATAGCATTGAAAAATATCAATTGCATGGAATTGCCGCTGGAATTCTATTTGAATTTATTTCCATTGGAATTTCATCATTTTCTTGTAGTGTATAAACCTCATTAATTTTATTTATAATATTTTTATTTAAAACACAAGAGAGAATAATATGAAAAAAATACAAAATTTGGAAAGTAAGATTATATGCACCTTATAGAAAGAAGATAATGAATGGGGGTGGTGGTATTTATAATATTTTTTTTGAGTATCTTTTGGATGTTTTTGGATTTTCTTCGATTTTTTATTTTTTTCGCAAATCAAGCACAAAACTAAAAACCGATCACTCAAGAAAGTAGCTAGAAATAGAATTGAGCGAGAGAAGAAGAGAGATTGAGAGTGAGAGTGTAGAAGTGAGAGATGAGGGGTGATAAAAATGAGGGGTATTTATAGGGATTTTTTTTTATGTATTTTTTTAATTCTTTTGGGTTTCTATTTTTATTTTTTATTTTTTTTGTTTTTTCTATCATAAACCCGTCGGGTTTTGGGTCACCCGGTGGGTCGGGCGGGTTTGGACCGTTGGATCTCAATGGTCCAATTGATCCAACGGCCGGGAACAGGTTTTGGTCCCAACGGTCGGCCCGACCCTGACAGTAGAATNCCAAAGGGATACGGGTTCGGTTAAAAAACCGGTTGTTCTGGACCGAGTCAACGGACCAGTTCGATTGTTGGCCATGTCTAACTACGCTAATATCACCCACTAAAACCACCTCTATAAGTACCACAAATCTAATACCAAAGAGGCTACGTATAATTTATGGAACACGGTGCTTTTGCACTTATATCGATTGCACCTCCACTTTATTCACATCGACAATTTAACGGACTTCCACAACTCAATCCACTTCTTTACCCGATGATTTTGTTACTTGAAAGAAAGCCAAAAAGACCAAAAACAACACCAATATTATAATTTCAAATATTATTTTTAACTATCAAAAGAATATTATTTTAAAAAACAAAACGATACACCCGAGCACCCACACGTCGGCAGCCTCCTCCTCAATCCCGATATTCACGGCCTCAGGCGATAAATACGCTCGGATAAGGCACTGTACCCTTCACTTTCGACAGCCCGAAATCACTTATTTTGGCCGTGAAGTGGTCGTGTTGGGCCACGAGAAGCACGTTTTCGGGCTTCAAGTCGCAGTGGACGTAACCGAGGCCGTGAATGTGACGGAGACCTCTGAGGATGGACTGAGTCGTGTGTGTCCTCACCTCCATTTCGGGCGCTCGATTTTTAGATGATGTAGTCGTGGAGGGACCCACTCGATGCATACTCCAACAGCAGATTATTCGGGCACGGGACAAAATCTCAAACTCTTTGGCAAGCGTACTTTCCTAAACCATAAAGGTTTAGTGAGTTTGTTTTAGGAGTAGCCAATGTTCTTTCCTGACCAGTATAGGTTTAGTGGCTTTATTTTTTTTTTTCTTTCCTAACAAAATTATATTTTTTTCAAGATCGATTTTTGTTTGGTCAGAGATTAAAATTTACAGTTAGACTTCGTGATACTCAAGCATTTGGTTTTTAATCTTTTTAGAATTTAATTATTTGAATTTGAGTCGGTCAATCTTGAAAAAGAAATTTTAAATCATTGATACACATAATATTTTTCGAAGAACTCGTGTGTTCATAGTTAGTTATTATTCAAATATTTTAATTGTTAAAAAATAAAAAGAATCACAATTAAAATAATTTTTTTTATATATTTTATATCTTCTTTATAATTTTTTTCTTATGAAACCTCTACATTTTTGTATTATTCTAGTAATATATAATATTTCTTTATGATTATTGCTTATTGGTATTAGTTTGTGGTTCTCATGAAACTCGTGAGGCGGAGAAATTATGTGTAATTAGGTGAATTTATAAAAATATTGATTCCCTAATATATTCATGCATTCTTCAAAAAATAAATGGCAAAATTGTAGCTTAATTACAAAGTATTCTAATCTACGTAATTAGTATTTTTACATGAATCATATCATATTATTAAAATATTTATACATCAATATATTATTATTATATTAAATAATTTCTTATAAAATTAGTAATGAATCTATAATTTCCATAATATTAGTTTGATTTTTAGGATTTGTCTCTTTTGAAAATATTAGTTTGTGATAATGAGTAGTTACCAAATAATCAAACTCATAATGTTGTGTACAAGGAGATTTTTAATAACATATGATTGTTACCGAACTTTTTATGATCCAACAATGTTCCTATGTATTTTAATGATTTCAATTTCGATCCTAATGCATATGAGGTTATATTATTCTTCCAAATTTTACATCCCGTGCATCGCACGGGTTACGTACTAGTAAATATTACATTGAACAATTGATTATTTTTTCAACTACTAAACTTATTCTCGGCAAACCCCCGATTCGTCTCTCTCATAGGAAAATAAACCCCAAATCCCCTCAGCAAACCCTCGTCCATTCGCGTTGCCTTCCTCGGCGGCGGTGCGGCGCCGGCCGGTGGTCGCGCTCGACTGCCACCCCTTCTCTGCTATCCCAAGCCTCTGGTGTTGCCGCGGAATGTCTGCGATGTCAGTCTGGCCTGCCCTAGTTCGCCGGCGTTGTAGCGATTGGAGGCGGCGAGCCCCTTGATCGTCGATCGGTTTGCAGCTGGTGGTGTCTTTTGCCGCCGGTCTCGATTGAAGGTAAGTCAGCTGTCTTTTTCTGCTTCTGTTCTTATCTCCGATTTGGTGCGCGAATGGTGGGCCCTCTCAGGCGGTTCTGTTTTTCCGGCGGATCTCCGTTCGGGGATGTCTAGTCCGGGAGCTGGTGGTCTGTGGATATATTGGATGGTTTATGGGTCGAGAGGCGGGGCGGGGCTCTGATGGTGTGTCGGAGCCGAGGGCTAGAATCGCACCCCCCTGTTTCGACTAGTGGTGTTAGACGGCAGGAATCTGGTGCTCCGGCGCTCGGATAGTGGTGTGCGTGCTCGGGAGGTGCCAGAGTGGGTGCGTGTTCGGTTGTCCTTCTGGTTGAGGGGGGTCGTTTTGGAGTTTGGTTTGTGTTCGGGCTCGACTTC